GTCTCCAGTTGGACAGTTTGGCAGGAGAAGGTGGAAGTGCAGGTCAAGGGCCAGCGTGTGAGACTAAAAGATTTACTACAGTGTATCATCGCTGGCCATGACAAACATCCCCCACATCAGAGGGGGCTCGTGACCCCCAATCTCCCACAGTCTGCTCCTACATCCCTCCATCACTCTCCAACTCCCACCTCGCTGTCAGAAAGACGTATCCATTACACCAACTCTGTCCAAACCACAAATGACATTTATGACTCACCAATTTCACAGTGAAAACTCTAAACTGCACTTTTCCAACAGAACAATACACCTCCAGGAAAAACTGATCTTGAGGATAACACAAGTTGATCTCCAGGCACTTTAATGAGCAGAGCATGTGAGCGTGGGAAAAAGAAAAGTTCCGATACAGATACCAGTTTATGAAATGCCTCCAAATTTTGCCTCAAATCTAGTAGCAGGTGTCTGTTTTATGAGAATGCGTTAGGAGGATTCACTTCAGTGTCTTTAGCGGTATGTGTGGTTGGTAGGAGAAGAAGCAGGGTCAGTACTGATGACCCACCTGAGGGGGGAAGGGGGGGGTGGTGGCTCTGTCTCTGTAATCTTCATTAGCAGCACCTGTGGAGGAGCTGGCGGAAATTGGTTTCGAGTCGAAGAGACGCCACGAGGAAGACGTGACACTTCAACACTTCATGGGTTCTTTTTGCACATGAACTAAACTGATATGAAAGAGAGGGCTGGTGGAGGAGATCGTACCCTGGTGTCCGGGTGGGCTGGTCGCAGCACGTACGAGGATCTTGGTGGGTCGCCTACACGTACCACGGGACAGTTGCACACACATTCAGGTGGGGCACAATGTACCTTTGCGTTTGCGCAGCACGTGGGGAGAGGCATTGAGTTGGCTCACTGGCCTTGACCTTGGGCTCAAGGATAGCATTTAGCTGTGGGTTTGCGTAGCGGTGTAACAACTGTAGAAGATTTAAGATTTTTTTGTGACAGCAGCAGATGCCAACAGTACTCTGAGTCACATTTTGGAGCAGAATTTTTTCTGTTTATTTCATGTTCAGATAAACAAAAAATCTGGGAGCTTAGCTTTGAGGTAGGAATTTCTTCTGTGTCCTAAGCTAGACCATACAGGAATTTGAGCAATCATGTCACATCAGTACAAAGTACATCAGTATAAAGTATAGCCTATAGTGCTTAGAAATAATAAGTAATTTATTTATATCATGCTAGAAGGGTAGTCTGTAGTGTCCTATACTCAAGTGATGAGTGGAAGTTATCACCAAGAAAAATAAAATGGTATCAGGATTTCTGAAGGACAAAGGAGGTAGTCTCTGTGTTAAAATGCAGCTGTGACAAATGTACTTGAAATGCCTACTTGGTGATGCTTAGACCACAGGGAACTAAAAAAGGCTTTACCGTGCTTAACCACTGTTTAATCCTCCCCTCACTTGGCAACGACAGGGAACACACACAGAGAAACACACATAGGCGAAAAAGTGGGACATACCTGCCACACTTCTCGAGTATCAAGGTCAGAGGAGTATTACTTTTGCCACCCGGCAACGCCTGTCAAAATACAGCGGACACAAACACAATCACAACTCTTCCAAATGTAGGCATTTTTACAACGCTGCAGGGGGACAGGGGGGTCAGGCAGGCTGTGCTTTCCCAGGATGCACTACTGCTTGGTTGGTGGCCGGTCACGGTAACAGGGTCAGCTGTTGTCTCAGTGGGGGGGAGGGGGGTCAGGCCTGTAGACCAAACTACAAGCTGCCTTGTTTGCACTTTTGGGCAGCATGACCGAGAGATCAAGTCTTGATAATGATGCGAGGCTTTCAGCTGACAACCTACACACATTCTTCAGGCTGTGTGGGGATTATATAGCAGCTCCCACAGCCAGTTCATCCTCACTGGGGGGGTTCAGCTTGTACTGGGACATCTTCGTCCAAGCCAAGACGCAGGAGTCTGGCAGCACGGGGAAGCTCATCTTTCCCAAACAGCAAACACCGGCTTTCCAGATCCTTCCATCCAACATCCCACACACCAACTCTCACTCCAGGTATCCTCCTCCTCCTCCTCCTCCTTCTTCCTACTCTAGGAATTACAATGAGTCATTCTGACTCCCCCCCAAAAAAACATTGCCAATAGTGAGAAACTGTATCATGTGGATAAAAAACAAACTGTGTAGAAAGTCACTCAATGGAGCAAAGTTCTACACACATCTAAATATTAGCTTGTTGCTACATCCTCCCAAAGCTATCATACACTATCTCTTCATTTTTGCCTTTCTAAAGTCGGCCTGACATCTGGGTTATCACATTTTTGTGTGTGCTCCTGTGTGCTTGACGATGAATTGTTTACCTTGTTAATTCACTCTTGGCCTCAGTTTGGCCCCACTGATTACAAAAGGAGCCCAAACAGGAAGCTCTGATACTCAGTCAACGTTCACGCCTCAGAATATGGAGACAAAGAGGAGATAAACCTTGTGAAGTAGTGACCTGTGGATATCAGCCCAACACTGTTTTCTTTTTACTTGATTCATATTTAAAGGGTGCAGGTTACATAATCTAAAAAGTTAAGAAAACATATGAATGCATTTCAGCCTCAAATCTGGGTCAGTGTTCTGAGAAAAGCCCTTCGGCTTTGGATGGATGAAAGCTACCACCAGGATAAAAAAAAAATCCTTTTTTGGACCTCCATTGGAAGGATATGACTGTCTGACACTCCAAACAACACATCCTGAATGTCACTCGGGTTATATTGGTGTCATTTGCTGGGGGATGAGATGTTCAGCCAGGTCTTGACATCATGCACTTCTATCCTACGCAGCTCTTTGAACCAAAGCTTGGTCTAAATGAACAATAATGAATGTTTGGCCAATAAAACTTTGGGGGGAAATGCATGCTGTGTTGTAAAACCTTTTTCCCAGCACATGTGCAAATGAAACACATGATGGCTTGATTGAGCTGATACTGTTAACATGTTCATGAGCTGGCACTTAAAGTCCCAAAAAAACCTCCTAAACTAATTTTTCTCTTTATGACAACAACTCAAAGCTATAATCCATCACAGATGACAAAAAATAAACACTTAAAACTCAACGGAAGAGAGAGAAACTCCCCGCTCCATAACGCCATGCAGGCTCCCTTGAGGTGTTCATTTGCTCTGAAACATCCCACATTGCTCTATTGTGCAATAACACTAACAGTCAAATATAAAGACAAATATTCTTATTATAACGTCGTGTAGCGGACTCTGTTGCTTCGGCCGCTACTTCTGCGTTGTTTATTTACGTCACGTCTTACCTCGGGAAATCCCCCGACCCCCCTCCCCTCTGACAGGGATAGTCTCCCCCCCCTGCCCTCTGACAGGGAAAGTCCCCCGCTGTGAGGAGCATATGAGAACGGCTAGGTCGGGAGAATCTCGGGAGAAGTCCTTCTGTAAATATCTAGATATTATCCGGAGTGCAAATGTGAAATGTTGTGATAGTCCCTCCAGTGGATAGTCACCACTTCTGGAGTATATATCAACATACATGTGGAGACAAATAGGATACAAAATACAGGGATTTCACCTGTGGACATCAGCCAAACTCTGTTTTCTGGAAGTGCAGTTTGCAGCCACTAAATTTAAGAAAAAAGGAGTGCATCTCCTCTTAAATGGGTCAGTGTGCTGAGTAAAGCCCCTTTATGTTCACTTCTAGTTTGGATGAATGACAGCCACCGACAGGATGTGCAGAAATGTGTTTTATCAGAACTGCCACACCGGTTTACTTATTCACTAAATTGTCTAAATAAATGGGACATCTGGATCCACAAAATGTTTTAAAAAATGTGATCTAGTCTAGCTGTAAAAGTCTCATTCGTCAGACCTGTGGACCTGAAAACGCTAAACTTGATCAAACAGTCTCCTGTGTTATTATTGAGAGCATTCTCAGCTTCTTGAACCACATTAATACCTCACAATATAATCTTTCTAATGAGGTCCGCACCGTGCATCATTCATATTACATTCTGGAAAATGAGAGCCCTCACTTCAGATGTCTTATTTGGAGATGATAAAGATAATTAAATTCACACTCACAGCTTTAAATTGACATTGTCCAAATGGGTACGATCTAATTCCTTAGATTTCTTCAATGTAAGTATTTCATGGCAAACATCAAACAAAGATTTTTCAAGTTCAAGCTACCTTGTGTTTTTTTCCACTGCAACAACAACATCTTTCTTTGTCCATTCAGCATGAATAATGATTTAATATCTCCTTTTATTCACACACAGGCTAACTGGGACACAGTTATAAAACCAGTTATAAAAATATCTTATCTGGCTCGTCTGTGGAAGAAGATCACAGGGGCCATGACTGAATAGTGTTTGTGTTTTTCATATCTTAATATCTTAAAGATGAGACACATTCTCTTCACTTTAAAAATCTGAGCATACCACTAATTAACTCAAACTGCATCTCTGCCTTACTTATTATCTTGCATACCACAGACACACACACACACACACACACTTCAGCTACTGTAGGCCCTACCCCCCTCTCTCTCTCTCTCTCTCTCTCTCTCTCTCTCTCTCTCTCTCTCTCTCTCTCCTCTTTGGAGGAGGCAGGACTGGGAGTAGACTCAATGTATTGTTCAGAAGTGCTGGATGAGTGACCAAGCAAACAGACAAGTGTGAGCTACAAAAAACAGACACAACAGACTATAATCAACAGAAAAAAACAAAAACATCAGGTATAGAGAAGGCACGCTTTTTAGTGACACTGAAACATGTGTGTCTATCAGACAGTAAAAAAGACTTTTCAAGGAGGATGATTTGATTAAACAAGCTGAAATTGTAGGTTTCCTATACCGCTGTTCTGAAGAATACATGTGCGCAACTCTTACCAATTTACACGAGGAGAGTGTTAAAACTAATCCACAGTTTGCGCACATTAACTTAATCTAACAGGCTAAAAAGTACATTCAAAGTGTCATAGGGGCTTTATCCGCTTACCTCAGCCTCTGTCAGGTCGATGGTGCAGTGAAGAGCCGCCAGCAGTAACAGTGCGCCGCACGGTAACATCATCTCGGCGGTGCGCTGTGGTGAACTTTAATGCGCAACAGTGCTGCTGAGAACCCGCTAACAAACCACCTGTCGGCCGCCTCTTGTCTTCCTTCTCCTTTGTATTTCACGAAATTATCTGCGGAGCTCGGGCAGCACGTTTGGCTGCATCTTTTGTCCGAGACGATATGAGCTTCTGATCAATGCAAAGTCACTCTTGTTTCTTCTTCTTGCACCACACCCCCCTCTCCCCTAAACGACCACCCTCGCCCTTTTGCTTACGGACTCAACCCCTTGCAGTTACAAACACTTTGACTTTTCTTGGTAAGGAGAGGGGACTACTCGCCACACTTTGCTGTTTTTTTTGTAACGACTAGCCTGTTTTGAGGAGGTTTTTGGTGTCACAGGTGGACCTGTTCTGAAACTCTTTGAGGTCGGGAACTGGCGCGCAACACTTGCCTCGTGATAACTTCTACCTTTCATCCTACCGCCGCGCTGTGAAACAGTAAGTAATGTTAGCTAGTGATGTCAAAGTGATGGGAAAATAAAGAAATATACTTGTTAACTTGACATTTTTATTGTTACTGTTCCTGTTTTACGGTACACCTACCACCTAGGCGACTGACGTAATAAATAAAGTTGTGCGTCATTTCAAAGTTAACAAAGCTGTGCTCTGAATGTAGGCTAATTAATCGTATGGACTAGTGGGTAAACTTTTTTTTTTAAAACGTTTAAGGTCGGGCAGTCATGCTGTAGAAGTGTCGCTCAGCTAAACTGAGGAGTTGAAGTGAAGTTTTGAGGTACGCATGAGTCGGACCATGCAACATAACAGAGGACTAAAGAACCTGAGGTGAGCTGGAAGCGAGTTCCTCTGCACAACATTACAACAGCACTGATTTAATGAACTGCAATTTCAACGCTGTCATGTTTCATTCACGATACAGGCTGCTGCTTCTGTGCCTCTTCATTGCTATCCTCGCCGCAGGAGTACAAGCGGTAAGTTTCTCGTTTCGTATTTGCGAACACATTGCAGTCTGTTGTCACTCAAGTATCAAAAAAAATATTATTTGAAACTCTCCAGTCCAAATTTCAGTTTGTCGTTCTCGTATCTGCTCTTCATGCAGCAGCAGACCGTGGGAGTGTCTGCTTTGGGGAGTTGCAGCAGTAGGAGGGTCTCTGGCTTTGAATGCTCTTAAACAGCAGCTTAGCTCATTACAGTTTTATTGTGAAATGGCTCATGATGCACGCTTTTCTGGTTGGAAGTGAGGACACTTTTAATATTTCAAAATCACTAACAAACAAAAAAAAGTCAGATGTGGAGTTTCATTTCAGAGTATAATATGTTGTTTTTTTGGCTTGACCTATGACCTTGCAGAGATTGAAGGGTGGGGGTCATGACCGAAGAAGACATGATGACAAGTTGATCTTTATTAGTGCAGATTTGTCATGGTGTGCTGAAATGTAACCAAATGTGTTTTACCTTACCTTAATGAAGAAGATATGACCCACTTTCTTGGATTTTGCGTGTCAGTCATTTTATTCAAAATGTACAAAGAAAAATTGAACATTAAATGATTATAAGACGATATAGCCGAGTGAAGCAGAATGCATTAGCTCAGGAAAGGAAGTTTAAACTATGCAGTCACTGCGATGGACACCTGAAAGAACATTTTAAGAGACTGCTTATTGATGGTTATATTGGACAGGGAAATCAATATCTCCCTGAGCCATGATAAAAAGATTGAATAAAAAAAGGAATCTTTTAAGCATGCTTTTAAAGCTGTTTATCTTTAATAACAGAGAGTTTAAAGATACTCTTTTTTCCCTAAAAGTCAATGAAAAAGTAACTTGTGCTCTACTAATTCCTCTTGTACACACTGTCCCTGTCCATTAAGAAAAACCTGCTGCCTATCCAGAAATAATATCTATTCAAAAGCAAATGTAAATGTATAAATCAAATGCGAGTGCTATCAAACAGCTTTAAGTCTGATAAGGTCTGATAAGGTCTGATAAGGTCTGATAAGGTCTGATAAGGACACAGGATGCTGACAGGCGGAGCACAGAGGCAAAGTTTTTTTTTTTCAATTTTTTGCTGCTATAGCAATAAAAAAATGCATTAACATCCAACACGCTGCAAATACATGAATGACACGTGATCAAAAAGAAACCTTTTAAAAAAAAACTTCTGCATTAGGGTTGTCGGATAGCCTAGAGCAGGGATGGGCAACTGGCGGCCCCCATCAACCCTCAACGTGGCCCTCAGTTCAAATGTATTTCTTGAATTAACAATATATGCAATAATACATTAAAAATGTATCAGTTTTATTATGTGTTTTGAGTTGTACAATCAGCCATGTTAAACACACATTTCATGATATTATGACCAAACATCAAAAACTATGTTTCTTAAGATGCTGTGTCATTAATTGTTCTTTTACTGGTCTGCTGAAATTAAAAGTGTGAATTTGACATGAAACAAACAGGTAATGAGAGGAGAGGAACATGTAGATTATAGCCTCCACACTCCAGGCTCCGATGTGATGTGTACAGTAGGCTTTGGGTTCATGTCACTGCCCAGTTTTGTTCTGAGGCATTATAAACACAACGTTATGATCAATTCTTAAAGTTTCCATACAAATATTCCCTCAACCCCCAGATATGTAATGTTTCATTTAGACAGGAAAGCTGCATAGACACTGTTAGGACATTTTAAGCCAACACCAGGGATGAGACAGCTGAGCAGGGGATCTAATTGGGGTAACTCCAGGTCTAGATGCATGGAGCTAGCGCTAGCTGCTTAGCTCCATTGTTAATCCACCTGACACCTGTCTTTTCGACTTTGGGAGCATCAAGAGTAAGGAGTTAAAAGGCCCACGGTGGGAGACTCGACTGATCACCATGTTCTGATCCCCCCGAGACCAAATGAATCTTTTGACTTGAGAAGATCGTAGTGTAGTGGTTTTGTCGGGTTTGCTTTAAGGCTGCTCTCACCGAACCTCCACTCAGGTCTCTGGAGATGGGCACTAACAGATGGGAGAGGGAGACATGGAAGTTAATTAATTATCAGACCAAGTAACACACACTTTGCAAAAACACAACTTCATAACATGTACAAAAACTTACATAGCTTTGAGAAATTGTGTCTAATAGACCAATAGCTTTGCTAGATTAGCAGTGTGGCTAACAGCGCTGTAAGCTCTATGTCTGGCTAGGGCACAGGACTAATTACTGCTGGGAGATTGAAGTTGTGAGTCCTGGGACCCGCGGCCTGACATCTGAGACCGGCCCCCGTCCCCAGGACTATATAGCCTGTGGGGTGTAAAAAAAAAAACCGCTAGACTATCTGGCACCCCTGATGCTGACATTTCTGCACGTCTCGAGACGCGGTTCTTTCTTTTGCAGCACATTTTAGTCGTTGCACTTCTATTGGACTTCTGCATTTACTTTTGAATTGATTTCCTTTCAGAATTTGCTGCTGGTTTCCTGTTGTTTTGGCTGTTGCAGGTCAATTGTCCTTGTTGGCCACCGTAGTCCATCATCCAATGGGGGATAAACTCTTATTGTACTTAATTTATTTTAAGCTATATTATGAAGATTTAGCAGGCTCAGCTGGATAAGTCAACTAAGTATCTTCCAAAGTAGCTGACTATTTAGTATGAAATGCTTTTGTGTGTTGCCATCCCTCAACTGTAGCTCAACAAAACAACTCTGTTCAAGGAAACACAAAGAGGGGTGTTGTTCTTAAAGAGATAAATCCTGAAAGCAAGCTGCCGTACTCAAACCTTTTTAATCATGTGTTTTTGAATCACTGATATCTGAGGCTCTTGGCTGTTTCTCTGTGCGTTGAATAAAAGCAGGGCTGTGATGCTTTGACCCTCAATCAAAGGAAAATTTAAGAAAAGATTCAAATATTTTTCAAAGGAAAGCTCATAGATCTCAGCAGCAGCTGCAGCATATGCAGCCAAATTTTGGCACTTTTTTTATGCTTACATTTTCATCACAGGCCAATGTGATTAGTCTTAAACTTCTTAAAGGCTTAATATGCGATTTTTCCCACTTCAATGCAGTGTTTCCCCTATCATTATATTATTGCATATTAAGCCTTAAATGTTGAAACTGAAGACAGAAAACTTATGTTTTATTAAACCAAATTAATGCATGACTTGGCTTTATATCCTCTCTTTGTCCCTCCAAACCTGAAGCTGGATGCTCACATGAACATGAGACCATGTGTCCATGCTTTGTATGTCCTTAAAGGACTCTAATGTGTTTTGCTTCTCTGTTTTTTTGCAGCTAGCTTGGGGTATTAGATGCCAGACATTTAATATCATACTCAAGGCACTCGGATTAAAATATATTTTCTTGCTGTGCGATGAAAAGAACTGTTGTCTTTTGCTTTTATCAGATTTGCTCAGGCCTTGATTAAAAGCGTGTGACACAGGAGAGCTTCTCTGTTTACTGTGCTGCTCTTCTCCAAGGCAATGATGCTGGAAACACAGCAGTTTTATTTGAGTTTTGGCACAATCTATTTGCTCTGTGCAGGCAAGCTTATGGTCAAATTAAGAAACAGCTCACAGTGATTATACAAATAAACTGAGTAAAAACAAAGTAGCTTCAGTTTCTTGGTTTGACGCAGTACCAGCAGCTGACTTTTGGTAGAACGTCGATCTGCACACATAAAAGAAGCTGTTGAAAAGACAACAAGCCATTAGCTAACAGTTTCATGTAACAAAGCATTTAAAGGCTTTATATGTGATTTTTTTTGATCCAGCAGATGTCGCCCTTGAGCACCAGCATGAAACCAAAACAACTCGCGCTGCATTGTTGTGTTAGCATGCTAATGCTAGCGATCTTTATTATGCTGGTATCTTCACACTGCATGTAAATTTACCTGAAATGAGCGTGATCTAGAAACACAGTTAAGCAGTGAGTACAGTATGTTATTCTTCTTTTCTCTAGTCCCTCAATTAAACAACTTTTATACACGAGGGGAGGAGTCAGCCGGCCGTCCTGGCGATGTAAACAAAGTGAAGATAGGACTCTGAAAACTCTGAAAACATCACAGACAGTGGGACTCGGGTGTTACACCCATTGTAGACAGTCATGACTCAGAGTTATTTTCAGAGGAGATACTTGATTTATACATTTAAGTGAGAAAAATCACATAGGAAGACTTTAATG